TTGTCTTTCTTATTCTTCTTTCTTGAATTGGTACATTTTTTATTTGGCATTTGAGGAGATACTCAGTCTCTTCTTTGTTTTTTCCACTCTGGCAGCTTTTATCTTTGTACTATGCCTTTGTAGATATGTGGAGTGTCTGCTTTCAGTGAATATCTAGAGGCTTGTAGTGGGTATGGTCAGGGAGTTTTGTTCAGTCCTCCAGGGTGAAAGGGCATGACTAAGGTGACACATCCAGGTTTGGCATGGTAAATCTGTTTTTTTTTTTTTTTTTTATCAGAAGGGAGATTTATTCTGCTGAGCTGAGCTCCTCTCCTTAAAGGAGACTAGTGCCTGAGCACTAGCCCCAGTGGGTGTAATATTCATCTGCTCTGTCCCAAGCACCACACAAAAGATCTGTGCAGTGGTTCACTCCCCAAATGGCTCTAACAGCCAGATCTGGACCAGGCTGAAGCCAGGAATCAGGAATTCCATATAGGTCTCCCACACGTGTAAAGCGATTTAAGTATGTAGGTCATCTTCAGCCACTTTCCTTGGTGAATTAACAGGAAGTTGAATCAGAATCCAAGTAGCTGGTAATAGAGCCTGCACTCGGATATAAGATGCCAGTGCCACAAGTGGTGGCCTAACTTGCTGTGCCACAACACCAAATTCCCCAACAATGTCCCGTACCAGGTAACCTGGAAGCCCTGAGCATGTTGAGTCTCCCACAGTGACTTCCCAAAGTCCCAGCCATACTGTGAGTCCCCCCAGATAGCTTCATTTTTTTTTTTACAGTTCTGGAACACAAGCCTCCCACATTCATGAACATTCAGCTCGCTGTTAGTTCTCTCCACCAGAGTCAAGAGTTTCCACTTCGCTGATTTCTGGGCATGGACACAAGCTGGTACATCTGTTACATATGTCCAAGATGATGCCCGCTCTACTGGCTAGTTACAGGACACCATTAAAGGTGATCAAGGAGAAAGAAAGGTGTCTCTCCTTTTTTTCTTCTCTAGTTTGGTAGGTACACTGTCCCCCATGGGGCTCCATGCTGGGTTCCCTCTAGGCTCCTCCTGTAGCTTTATTGCCAGTGGCTTGGGCTGCTGCCTTCTGGTCTCACCTCCCTCTCCCTCCCTGCTGCAGAAGCTCTTGGATACTGGAGTCCTGAGGCATGGGCATCCACGTCCTCCACGTAGGTCCACTGTGTCCCTCTAATTTGCATAGAGTCTCCTCTGCCGTTTTCTCCCTAACTCTTCCCTAAGACTGCACTCTCTCCACTTTTTTTAAGCTATACTCTCCTAGACCATAGCAGTAAGCTCCCTCCCTACTCTGCCTTCTTAGAACCTCATAGTATACTATGTTTTTTAAGATTTATTTAATTATTTGAGTGGCAGAGTTATAGACAGAGAGAGGGAGAGACAGAGAGAAGTCTTTTATCTGCTGGTTCACTCCCACCATGGTCACAACAGCCGGAGCTGTCTCATATGAGTACAGGGGCCCAAGCATTTGGGCCATCTTCCACTGCTTTCCCAGGCCATTAGCAGGGAGCTGTATTGGAAGTGGAGCAGCCTAGACTGAGCTGGAACCTATTTGGTATGCCAGTGCTGCAGGCGGAGGCTTAATATACTACTTCACGGTGCCAGCTCCCAGTATACTATTTTTACTCTATTCCTCCATTTTCCTAAGAAATAAAATTAGTATAATGTATCTCATTTCAGATTGATAAATAAGTATCTAAAAAGAACCAATTGCTAACAAGTTCTTTTATAGATTGAGGTAATCTTTGACAATTATATTATGATATTGCATCTATGGGCTCCTGAGGATAACCCAATCACTCCAAATGTTAAATGAAAGACACCTAAGTTAAAGGCAGGGATGCCATGGACTGAGTTTTTTACCCCCAAAATTCATGCTGAAGCCCTAACATCCAATATGAATGAATTTTGAGATAAGTATTTAAGGAAGTACTTGAAGTTATATGAGGCCTTTAAGGTGGGGTCCTAATCCATTATCTAAGAAGGAAGAGACACCAGAGCGCTCTCTCTTTCTCCCATTAGAGGACACAACTAGAAAAGTTCAGAAGAGAGCTCTTACCAGGAGCCATATCAGCCAACATCTTTATCTAGAGCCTCTCAGCCTTCAGAATGTAAAACAGAAATGTAAATTTCTGTTGGTTATACTAAACAGCTTAGGATATTTTGTTATGGCAGTCCAAACTGACTGATATAGTAGGTCCTTTTAAGAAATGCATATGGAAAAACATATAGACAAAAATTTAATGATTTATCAAACACAGCTTCCTTTATGTAATCAGAATTCCTTTACATTAAAAATATTGTATTTTCTTGTCACCATCACCTACTTTCACACCAACATCATTTCTCCATAATTGCTTCTATCATAAGATAGTCTTCATAATACCTTTCTCACCCTGACATTGACAAACCCCTATTCTCCTCTTCTATACTTGGCATAGGCATTACCATCTCTAAGAAGCAAGCAAGAGTTTCTCTTACTTGTTCCCACAAAACCATTCATTTTCCTTATCAAAGTATGCAGAAAATTATCCTATGGACAGAGACTATGTATGTCTTAATTACTACATTATCTCTAGTTCCTCTACAGAATGCCTGGCACAGAGTGGATGTTCAATAAGTATTTGTAGAATGAATCAATAAATATTATAGATGCATTTTATAATATGCTTTTATTTAATTTCAATCAACATGATTCAATCTTATTATAATGTATTAATTTATAAAATGTTAGCAAATTATTACTTCAAATGTTTGAAAGATATATATTTATTATAGATTATTACAGATTAATCGAATCCTATTTATGTTTCCTAATATAGTTTTATAAAGATAAATTCATAGTAAAAGTACTTTATTTTGCTAAAAATATTACACATAATTAAATAACGTGCTATTTAAGTTTCAACAAAATTACTATAAATTTTCTATTCTAAAAAAATATTTTTTTAATTTATTTGAAAGGCAGAGCAACAGAGAGAAAGGGAGACAGAGAGAGAGAGCTATCTCCCTCCACTGGTTCACTCCCCAAATGGCTCTAACAGCCAGATCTGGACCAGGCTGAAGCCAGGAATCAGGAATTCCATATAGGTCTCCCACACGTGTAAAGCGATTTAAGTATGTAGGTCATCTTCAGCCACTTTCCTTGGTGAATTAACAGGAAGTTGAATCAGAATCCAAGTAGCTGGTAATAGAGCCTGCACTCGGATATAAGATGCCAGTGCCACAAGTGGTGGCCTAACTTGCTGTGCCACAACACCAGCCCCCAACTTTCTATTTTCTAAAAAAAAATCATGACAAGTATCATGTTTACATGTAGAAACTTATACCTGTGGCATTAAAGGCATAAAGCCTTATTAGGCTAAATATTAAACATACACAATACTACATTTAAACAAATTACTTTTGACTACCTTAAAATACACGAAATATTTATTCCAAAGGTATTGCCATTATCCAGAAGATTTTGGAATTGCTAACTGGAAAATACTTTCAGAATCAGTTGATAATTCCCAGGAGAAAATTTTTCATTTCTTTTTTATTATTTCTTTTATACAAGCAAACACACAATTCCCTAGCTCGACAATTCCCCTCATTTGCCTCAAAACGATTTTTGGCAGTACAGTAAAGAACAAGAACTCTGGAGACAGAAGTTGAATATGATTTCTGGCTTTTTTTTAAATTTTTTTTTTATTTTTGACAGGCAGAGTGGACAGTGAGAGAGAGAGACAGAGAGAAAGGTCTTCCTTTGCCGTTGGTTCACCCTCCAATGGCCGCCGCAGCCTGTGCACTGTGCCGATCCGAAGCCGGGAGCCAGGCGCTTTTCCTGGTCTCCCAAGCGGGTGCAGGGCCCAAGCACTTGGGCCATCCTCCACTGCACTCCCGGGCCACAGCAGAGAGCTGGCCTGGAAGAGGGGCAACCGGGACAGAATCCGGCACCCTGACCGGGACTAGAACCCGGTGTGCCGGCACCGCAAGGCGGAGGATTAGCCTAGTGAGCCATGGCGCCGGCCGATTTCTGGCTTTTTTACTTACTAGTTGGGGAACATTGAACAAGTTATCAATCCTTCCTCGTGCTTCAGTTTCCTCATCAACATAATGGTGGAAATAATGGTACATGACTCATAGGGTTGTTGTGTTAATTCAGGTAAAACAGCAGTGCCTGGTATACGCTAAGCACTGTCTAAGTATTTGCTAATGTTGGTAGTAACAGTGTTTTAAGGAATCTACAAAATATTTAGCACATTTGCAAGGTCACTGAATTAAGTATACACTTTCAAGTATGACTACTTTGAGGAGAATACAAAATTTGGGTAGGTGAGTTTTAGTAAATGTTTTAAAAGTCAACCATGTGGCCGGTGCTGCAGCTCAATAGGCTAATCCTCCGCCTGTGGCGCCGGCACACCGGGTTCTAATCCTGGTCGGGGCGCCGGTTCTGTCCCAGTTGCCCCTCTTCCAATCCAGCTCTCTGCTATGGCCCGGGAATGCAGTGGAGGATGGCCCAAGTCCTTGGGCCTTGCACCCGCATGGGAGACCAGGAGAGGCACCAGGCTCCTAGCTTCGGATCGGCGCAGAGTGGCCATTGGGGGGTGAACCGACGGAAAAGGAAGACCTCTCTGTCTCTCTCTCTCTCACTGTCCACTCTGCCTGTCAAAAAAAAAAAAAAAAAAAATCAACCCTGTAACATCTTCTACTTCATTTCTCAATATCTGAGAGTCAGAGACTGCCATATTCCAAGTATAGCTTCTAAAGTAAAAATGGTAATGTCTTTATATTAAAGTAGAAAAGTATTATTTTTGCAACTATTCATATTTTCTCTTTTTTGAAACATGAATTTGTTTTAGGGGCATTCAAACAAATGGTTTTTGTCAATTTAAATTTCTTGCCCCATATCAGAGGGGGACAAAAAAAACTTTACTATTAAAACTCGGCAGTTACCCTTAAATGCTAGAGATGGACTTATTAAAATGTTTGATAACTTACTGGATTTGTTTTATTCCAGGCAAGGCTGCTCACATTCAGGCCTTTGGTTAAGTCACAAGAAAAAGACCAAAGTCGTTCCAAATTGGCTGGTATTGTTGATTGTGCTGCACTTATTTCTATTTCTTCTTCCTCCTCCTTTTTAACATCTTCTTCTACCTCTTCATGCTTTTCACCTGCTAAAATATCTCTAAGATGTTCAGGTTCAGGTTCTAAAAGTAAACCAGATAAAAAAGGTCTTGTCCATTATACGTACAGGGGTGTGCTAAAGGTTCCAAGCAGCATTTTCATCCCTGATTGCCACTTCAAGCCCCACTGGATCTACTGGACCATATGGCCAAAGTGACTGGGCACCTTGAGTGGCTGCCTGAATCTGTTATGTCTGTAATTTCAGGTTCTGCTCAAAGATAGCAGCTTTTTTGAGTGATCTGGTAAATGAGTGATAGTAGCACGCTCAAATGTGGAATATGTTGCTTCCAACATATAAAGAAACTCACTAGACTCTGGGCCTCTTTTTTGGTAGTAAAAGGGGCCAGATGCAATATCTTAATCTTCACCCTTGAAGGTATATCTCAACATAGCGCAAACCACAGGACACTTAGCTATTTCACTAAACTATAAGTCCCCTAGTATTTTATAAGATTTGTTTCCTACCCTCTGACATGCAAATGTCTTGCCAATCTACTTTTTTTCTGGGTCCAATTAGCATAACATCATCAATATAACAGGCCAGTTTGATGTCTTGTTAAAGGGAAAGATCCCTGAAGGAATAAATTATGACATAGGTTTGAAGAACTAATATATTCCTGAGGTAAGGTAGTGACAGTATATTGCTGGCCTGCTCAGCTGAAAACAAATGGCTTCTGGTGTTTTTTGTTTGTTTTACCTAATTAATTAATTACCAACAGTAGTTGGAAGGAAAAAGCATTTGCCTTATCAATAGTTATACACCAGGTACAAGGGAGACGTGTTAATCTGCTCAGGCAATGAAACCTCATATGAAACAGCAGTTGTGGTTGGCGTCACTATAGTTAAGTTTGTCATAATCCACTGTCATTCTTGAAGATCCATCTGTTTTCTGTAAAAGCCAAATAGGAGTTGAATAGAAGATGTGGTGGGAATCAACATCCTGCATATTTCAAGTTGTTGGCATTGGCATTAGTCTCTGAAATCCCTCCAAAACTGTGCTATTGCTTTTGATTTACAATAACCCATGATGCCAGAGCTGCAGGCTGGGAGAGAAAAGGCAATGTTAACAGGAGTCTGAATCACAGGCATTTGGGCTACCTCATCATGCAACTTACTTGTGCCTTCAAGGTGTATGTGTGTATATGTGTGTAGATATATATACCTTTTCCATTCAATGATGGAATCCTGCTATATGCCAAATTCCATGGATTTGTGGGTAACATAATATCTAGTTCATGATAAGCATCTCAGGTCACATGGTAACTTGGTGGTCCACGGTCAAGTATAAAGTTTCTACTAAGGCCCAGTAGTGGGCCAAAGCTGTCTCTCAAGAGAAGAGGTTTCTATATATAATGACAGAGTCTTGCTCTAGAATCCTAAAGGCCTGCCAAAGACTCTAGACGCATTGCTGTCTGCCACTGACACCTCAAATTCCATTGGATCCTCTGGAACATATGGCCCAAGTGGTAGAGCAGCTTGCACAGCATCCTGGACCTGTTGCATAGCCTACTCCTGTTTTGAGCCCTTTGCAAAGCTAAAAGTTTGTCAGACGCTCGGTAAATGGACTGAAATAAAACACCCCTATGAGGAATGCCTTCTCTCCAAACTCCTTATAGGCCCACTAACCATTATGCTTCTTTCTTGGTTGTAGGGGAGCCAGATGCAGCAACTTTTCCTTTCTTTAGATAGGATATGGTTACATGCCCCACACTATTAGATGCTAGGGATTTCACTAAAGTAGAAGTGCTCTGAATTTTAGTAGGTTTTACTTCCTATCATGTGACAGCACATGTATTACCAATATAAGCCAGAACCTGGGATGTGTCAATGGCAATGCAAAAGGGGGATTGAATATGAGACACTATAAATGTATGTTAACTAAGTGAATGTAGGGACAAGAGAGAAAAAAAAAGAGCCATGGACACTTATGAAGGTTTGAGTCCAAGGGTCAATGTTCTGAGAGCTCCCTAGTCCTGACTCTACGGCCACTCAAATGTTTAGTGCTGAAACATAGAAATACATCCCCTGATAAACAACAACCCATTCTGTAAATTACATTTAGAAATGCATTATAATTATTTGAGTTTGTCTAAGCATGATTTTAAAAAAAAATACCTTTAAAAATAGGAAGCTGACGATAAGCTGCAAGTTTTGGCTGAAATATATTTTCCATTACTACTCGTTCCATATAAAATAAGTCCTGGTGAAACTTGTCAGATTTTAATATTGCTTCTGAGTGGTCCTCCTCATCTTCATGGACTTTAGCCAGAATTACATTTTCTATATCCATTAGAGAGCTAGCTTCACTATCTATAAAATATAAATGTGAGGTAATAAAATATCTAAATAACTTCAGATGATTCACACACCTTCTAAAATGTAAAAATGACATTCTGCCATTTCTATTTTTTAAAAAATTTATTTATTTTTTGAAAGGTAATATTACAGAGAGGGTGAACAAGAGAGACACATAGAGAGAGGTATCTTCCATATGCTGTTTCACTCCCCAAATGACCACAACAGCCAGGATAAGGCAAAGCTGAAGCCAGGAACCAGGAGCTTCATCGAGGTTTCCCACATGGGTTGTAGGGGTCCAAGTTCTTGTTCCATCTTCCACTGCTTCCTCAGACACATTAGCAGGGAGCTAGATTAGAAGTGGAGCAGCTGGGACTAGAACAGGCGCCCATATGGGATGGTGGTGTTGCAGGCAACGGTTAAACACACTGTGCCACAACATCAGCCCCCTGTCATTTCTATTTTTAATCATAAAAAAAAAAAAATACTGCTGGGGCCAGTGCTGTGGCATAAAGGTTAAAACCACCGCCTGCAGTGCCGGCATCCCATATGGGCACCAGGTCCAAAGCCAGGAGCTAGGAGCTTTTTCTTTAAAAAAGAAACTTTTTCCTTACAGTTCTGAAGGCTGATAAGACCAAGTTCAAGATGCCTCATCCAGTGAGGCTTTCTTGCTGTGTCATAATATAGTAAAAGGCATCAAAATGACCAAAGACACGGATAAGGCAAGTAGTCTCTCTTTTCTTCTCGGAAGGCCACTAATCCCATCACAGGGGATCCACTCCCATGACCTCATCTAAACCTCCCCAAGGTCCCACCTCTGAGCACCATCGACATATGATTTTCAGTGTTAAGTTTCCAATACATGATCTTTGGATAACACATTCAAATCATAACAGTATCTCTATTATTTCTTATTAAAATTTAAATAAGATTATCTTCAAAGGTCTGATTTGATGACTGTTTTATAAGGATACTACACCACTGTATTAGTTTTCTATTGCTGCTATAATAAATTAAAGCAGCTTAAAAACAATGCAAATATATGATCTTATAATTTTGCAGATGAGCGGCCGGCACTGTGGCATAGCAGGTAAAGCTGCCGCCTGCAGTCCCGGCTTCCCATATGGGCACCAGTTTGCATCCCAGCTGCTCCACTTCTGATCCAGCTCTCTGGTATGGCCTGTGAAAGTGGTAGAAGATGGCCCAAGTCCTTGGGCCCCTGCACCCGCACTGGAGACCCAGAGAAAGCTCCTGGCTCTTAGCTTCACATCGGTGTAACTCTGGCTGTTGTAGCCATCTGGGGAGTGAACCAGTGGATGGAAGACCTCTCTCTCTGTCTGCCTCTCCTTCTCTCCGTGTAACTCTGACTTTCAAGTAAATAAATAAATCTTTAAAAAATAATAATAATTTATAAAAAAAATTTTCAGATGATAGGACTGACACAGGCATCACTGAATTAAAACCAAGTTGACAGGGTTATGCCCCGTTCTGAGGACTCTAGAGATAATTTGTTTCCTTGGTATTTCCAGCTTCTGGAAGCCACTCATAGTCTCTTCACCATCTTCAAAGATAGCAACATTGAAACTCTCTCACCTCCTTCTGTAATTGCACCTCTCTGCCAGACTATAATTGAGAAAAGTGCTCTGCTTTTAAGTACCCATGTGATTACATTGTACTCAATCAGATTATCCACAATACTCTCCCCATTTGAAGATCTTTATTGTAATGACACCTGAAAAATCTTTTTGCCATAAAAGGTAACACATTCACAGATTCCAGGAATTGGGATGTGTACAAATTTCAGGGACTATTATTCCGCTTTCCATACTACTTGGTAAACTTTAAAAACTGAACAAAGAGGGTAGGTTACAGCCCTGGTCTGCAGTGCTGGCATCCCACATGGATGGCAGTTTGAGTCCCCACTGCTCCACTTCTTCTGATCTAGCTTGCTTGCTAATGCACCTGGGAAGGCAGCAGAGGACGGCCCAGGTGCTTGGGTCCCTGCACCCATGTGGGAGTGGGAGACCCTGAAGAGGTTCCTGGTTCCTGGCCCAGCCCTGGTCATTGCAGTCATTTGGGGAGTGAATAATTCCAGTGGATGGAAGACTCTCTCTGTCTCTACCTCTCTCTGTAACTCGGCCTTTCAAATAAATCTCTTTAAAAAATAAATCTTTTTTAAAAATAGATTAACTATACTTTAAAAAAATACTGAACAAAGGGGAATCCCTCTTCCATGAAGACAGAGTAGAAGCACCTTTTCCCCTATACCACATGCTAAATCCAACTAAAAACACTAGAAATTATATATTAAAAAAAAAAAACAAAAGAATACTTTGAAAACTGGAGACTAAAAGCAGAGCTACTAGGGTCCTTGGGACTCAGGAAACAACACATTGGTGAGTTTCCTATTTTTCTTTTTAAGATTTGTTTATTATTTGACAGAGAGAGAGAGAGGGACAGAGTGAGTAGATCATCCATCCACTGATTTACTCCCCAAATGATTGCCAACAGTCAAGTCTGGGCTAGGCTGAAGCCAAGAGCCAAGAACTCCATCCAAGTCTCCCATGTGGATGGCAGAGGCCCAAATATTTGGGCCATTATCTGCTGCCCTCCCAGGTAGATTAGCAGGGAGTATCTGGGACTTGAATTGGACTCTGATGTAGGATGCTGGGGTCACAAGTAGCAGCTTAACCCCTGTGCCACGCACTGGGATCTTGTGGGTTTTCTTTTGTCTCATGTGTTCTAGTCATAGAGCTGAAGAAGCCAGCAACCTGGAAACACTAATGAGCAAGGACAAAAAAGAAAACTAAATCCCAAAGAAGCCTCCTTTCTCTAGCCAAGGGATCCCGGAAAGGAGCAGGAAACAAAGGGAGAAAGGAAGGCAGACAGGCAGGCAGGAAAGAGGAAAGAAAGAAGGGAAAGAGGGAGGGACAGAGGGGAGGAGGGAGAGAGGGAAGAAGGAATAAAAGTTGGAACCACTGTGTTCCAACCAAATACCATAGAAACAAACAAGCAAACAAAGTATATCCCCACCCATGCCACAAAGGCCAAATGTGAACCAAGACTTCACCAGGCACAACTTATCAAAATTTGTGGCATGTACCAAAGACAATTCTTGGAGAGGAATGTATAGCACTGAATGCATATATTAGAAGAGAAGAAAGATATAAATCAGCCATATAAGCATCTTAGTACAGTGCGGAAGAAAAACAATGTAAGCCTAAAATCAAACAGAAAAAAAAAATAAAAATTAGAGCAGAAATCAATTAAATTGAAAACAGGGAATCACTAGGGAAAAAAATCACTGATGTCAAAAATTGGTTCTTTGAAAATATTAGTAAAATTCATAATCTTTAGCCAAACTAACCAAGAAAGAAAGAAAAAACAGGTGGGCATCTGGCCTAGCAGTTAAGCTGGCCAAGATTGTGGGGAGCAGCCCGGACTGGACTGAGTTACTGGAATTAAGACTTATTCTATGCATCTGCTCTCCCACAATATGGCGCTGGGAGAGAAGTAAACAGCTTCTGCACAGCTGCCTCCAGTTCAACCAATAAACTGTAGGACTTGCTCCTGATTGGAAGAGAGCAGCGTACTCGGCGTGTGGGCAGCCGAGTTAGGATTGGCGGAGCAGGACTATAAAGGAGGAGAGAGACGGCATGCACCGGGAACATCTATGAGGAACATCTAAGGGGAACATCTAGCTGAAGGAACACCCGTGCAGCCCCCGAGAAAGCCGGCCGGCGGTGTGCCGCTCCCCTGCGGAAGTGGGGAATGTGGCCGGGGGAACTGCCCTTCCACGGAGGTGGAAGGGATAGTAGCCAACCCGGGAAGAACCAGCAGCAAACCCAGGGAGGGCCGAGCAGACGAAAGAACAGCGCAGGGTCCTGTGTCGTTCCTCCACGAAGAGGGGGAGCGACAAAGATGATTTGTGACCTGAATCACAGTATGTGGGTTTGGTACCTCATTCTAGCACCCTGCTTACTTCTTGCCAATATAAGCCCCGAGAGCTAGCAGATGATTGCTTAAGTGGTTGAGACCCTGCCACCCACAGGGGAGACATATATAAAGTTCTTGGTTTCTGGCTCCAGCCCCAGTTATTGCACACATTTGAGAAATAAATCAGAATATGGGAGCTTGGTCTCTTGCTCTCTAGCCCTCCTCTCTTTCCCTCCCTCTCTCTGCCTCTGTAACAAAAAAGGGGAAGGAGAAGAGAAAATATATGAATCGTCAGAATGAGGAATGGAAGAAGTAATCTTACTACTGATTCCATGGGTCTAAAAGAATAATGGAATAATGTGAACAACTTTCTGCCCGTAAGTTTTATAAAAGATGAAATGGAACAATTTGTTGAAAGACACAAACTATCAAAACTCACATAAGGAGAAACAGATAATCTGAATAAACCTTAAAGAAATCGAATCAATAATTAATAGTTTTCCAAAGTAGAAAGCATAAGGCCCAACCAATTTGGAAGATAGTTTGGTAGTTTCTTAAAAGGTTAGGCACAGTCTTAATAAACAATCTAACAACCTGATCACTGAGCTCTATTTGTAGTTTTTATTTTCTCACTAAATTCTAAGTCTGTTTTTTTCCTATGCCCTTTAGTGGACATAATACTAAAATAAAGTATATCAATAAATTCTTTTTGTTTTTGAAAACACACGATGCACACAAAAAATAAAATACAAACTAAAATTTATATTTCTTTTGAGACTTTGAAACTAAGGGTTTTTTTTTTTTGTTTTGTTTTGATTTGGGGGGTCAATGGCTTTAATAGGAATGGAGTACATGTAATGAATCTGAAGTCAAAATGTAATTTTCAGTCTAATATTGGATTTTTCCAAGGAGTTCTGGTAGCTTATAACATCAAACCTATTAGATGGATGTTCACTCTTAACAAAAATAATCAATCTTATTGATAATTAAAAATGATTAAAAAATTGGCCATATCAGTTTAGATTAAAAGAGATTTTTAAATAACATAAAAATGACTAGTTAAAAAGTCTTGTGGATCTATAATCTTCTAGAGAAATGTAGGCAATTCTTAGTAAAGTAATGTTTTCTGGAAATAACCAATTATCGTTAAACTTGGTATGTCAAAATATTTACTGATTTACTGAATGTTTAAATATTTGTCTTTGGGTCAAAATCAGTGAAAGTGGAAACATTTCAGTTTAATTATGATTATTTGCCAAACTGTCACAAAAACTCATCAGGTTATACTTATGCTGAATTAAGAACTATCCCTCTACTTTTAAAAAAAAAAAAAGACTTATTTATTCATTTGAAAGGCAGATTTACAGAGAGGCAGAAGCAGAGAGAGAGAGAGAGAGAGGTCTTCCATCCGCTGCTTCATTCCCCAAATGACTACAATGACTGGAGCTGGGTGGAATGAGAAGGTCATGTCAAGACTGCACTGGTGAGCGAGCATCAATTACTCAGGAAATAGCTTCAGGACCCACCTGGCAAAGAAGCCTGCCTAGCAACAGGCAGCGATTGGTTATGGCATAAACCGCCTGTTGATGGGATTGGCTGCCTTGGCTATATAAGCTGCTGTACCAACTGAAATAAACGAGTCTGCGAGTTGCTCACCTCTAGCTCGCTTTCACCCGACTCCTGGTGTCTGTGTTGTGTCTCTGTACCTCTTGCCTCCACCATGCTTCTCCTCTCAGAATGAATCCGCAGCAACAGAGCTGTGCCAATCTGATGCCAGGAGCCAGGAGCCAGGAGCTTCTTTTGGGTCTCCCATGTGGGGCAGGGGCCCAAGGACTTGGGCCATCTTCTACAGCTTTCCCAGGCCATAGCAGAGAGCTGGATTGGAAGTGGAACAGCCAGGTCTCGAACTAGTGCCTATATGGGATGCCAGCACCACAGGCAGCGCCTTTACTGGCTACACCACAGCATCAGCCCCAGAACTGTCCCTTTAAACATAGTAATTTTTAATTTTATAACAGAAAAACTCAAAACTTCAAAATAAAATTAGATACTGGGGCCAGCACCGGGGCTCACTTGGTTAATCTGCCACCTGCAGCACCAGCATCCCATAGGCGCCAGTTCTAGTCCTGGTTGCTCCTCTTCCAGTCCAGCTCTCTGCTGTGGCCTGGGAAGGCAGTGGAGGATGGCACAAGTGCTTGAGCTCCTGCACCGGCATGGGAGATCAGGAAGAAGCACCTGGCTCCTGGCTTTGGATTGGCGCAGCACTGGCCATGGCAGTTATTTGGGGAGTGAACCAACGGAAGGAAGACCTTTCTCTCTGTCTCTCTCTCTCACTGTCTATAACTCTACCTGTCAAATAAAAAATAAAATTAGATAAACATAAAATATTCAAAAGTGAAATTTAAACTTCTTGTAACTTGGACTTAGTAAACTTTGTCCTTATTGTAAGTATATCTAGAAAGATATAATTTTATGTTGATTTTAACTACAATATTTTATCTTAGAACACAGAATACTAAAAGCCAAGTTGTAATGCAGTTTCTTAATAATGGTAGTATTGACATTTTGGTTGGGTTAATTCTTTGTTGTGGGGAGTGCCCTGAGTTTTGAAAAGAATTTTAGCAGTATCCCTGGATAGACTCTCTTATAGTCATGACAACCAAAAATGTCATCAGACATTGCTTAAAGTCCCCTGTGAAGGTAAAATTTTCTCCAGTTGAGTCAGTGGTGTTAATACATCTTCCTTTTAAGTGGTAATGTAGCTAACACACAATCTTTCTTAAGTTATCTAATCTATTGGGGGGAGTGTCGAGAGTAAATGATAGAACTCACATGTATGAAAGAAAGCTGAAGAACATGAAACAAAACACTAGACAAAGACAGAATCTTTGGAAAAAAATTTTTTTCTATTCAGAGTCCATGACAGTGTGAGAGAGTAGCAGTCCTATTTCTGAGTAAAAGTTGTAATGTTCTTGTTCAATCAGAAACAAAATATTGTAACTGCTAAAAAAGAATTTGAAATGTTATATGAAAACATATTGCAAAAAACCTGAATTAAATGAAACCTTACTTCTTTCCACAGTATTCCCTGACAATCTTTGGTCCCGGTCTTTAGAAAGAACACTTGCTTTGCTAGCTGATTCAATGGCAGGTCGTTTTGCTGCTGAAGTTGAAAGTTCCAGAGCATTATAGGAATCATACAAATCCCAGGCAGTGGACATTATACCTAAATAAAGAAAAAGAAAGGTACAAAGTATTTTAAGCTAGATTCCAATATTTTAGCTTCATACATAGTGATATCAAAATTCAAGAAAATATGATACACTGTCTATTAACAACATATACTATTGTCTTTTATTTTTTTTTTTATTTTTTTATTTTTTTATTTTTGACAGGCAGAGTGGACAGTGAGAGAGAGAGACAGAGAGAAAGGTCTTCCTTTTTGCCGTTGGTTCACCCTCCAATGGCCGCCGCTGCAGCCGGCGCACCGTGCTGATCCGATGGCAGGAGCCAGGATCCAGGTGCTTTTCCTGGTCTCCCATGGGGTGCAGGGCCCAAGCACCTGGGCCATCCTCCACTGCACTCCCTGGCCATAGCAGAGAGCTGGCCTGGAAGAGGGGCAACCGGGACAGAATCCGGCACCCCAACCGGGACTAGAACCCGGTGTGCCGGCGCCGCAAGGTGGAGGATTAGCCTATTGAGCCACGGCGCCGGCTTTGTCTTTTATTTTTTTAAAGATTTATTTATTTATTTGAAAGTCAGAGTTACACAGAGAGAAGGAGAGGCAGAGAGAGAGAGAGAGAGAGAGAGAGAGAGAGAGAGAGGTCTTTCCTCAGCTGATTCACTCCCTAATTAGCCTCAATGGCCAGTGCTGCACCAATTCAAAGCCAGGAGCCAGGAGCTTCTTCTGGGTCTCCCAGGTAGCTGCAGAAACCCAAGGATTTGGGCCATTTTACACTGCTTTCCCAGGCTATAGCACAGAGCTGGATCAGAGCAGCCGGGACTTGAACTGGCACCCATATGGGATGCTGGCACTGCTGCATCACAGTGTCAGCCCCTACTATTGCTTTTAATTAGACACAGAGAACAAAGAAATAAATCAGAGGGACACCTCAAGAAATCCTTAGTCATTACACTACCGTACCTACAAATATCATAGTGCTTAAGGGACAATTCCAAATTCTCCTCACCATGCTTTCTGAGTTCCACACTAACCTCCCTCTACCATGATCTGGTGCAAAATAATCTCATCAGTTGCCATGATTGGGATGCTTTGGTGAAATACGGACCTGGACAACCATGCTATAACAAAATATTTATATTCTTTTCCTTACATCTAACATATAGCATGTTATATTCTAAAGATCAGTTTATTTGCAAGAATATGTTTCCATTTTTATAAAGTAAAATTTCCTATTTACCTATCATATGAAAAGATTGCTCTTATTGGGAAAATGATAGACTGTTCTCAGGAAACTTATAAAGTAATATGGTTATTATCTTCTCAAAATTTTTTGTGTAGGATAGTAAACATATTCAAATCATGAAATATAACTGTGATGACTAAACATAAATAGCAATGTTATTTATCTTCAAATAATAATTTTAAATATATATTTATTTGCAAGGCAGAGTTACAGTGGGGCGGTTGGGTGCAGAGAGAGAGATCTTCCATCTGCTGGTTCAATCCCCAAATGGCTGCAACAGCAAGGGCTGGGCCAGACCCAAGCCAGGAGACAGGAAATTCTTCCATGTCTCCCACATGGATGTAGGGGCCCATGTACTTGGGGCATCTTCTACTGCTTTCCCGGGCATATTCGCAGACAGCTGAATTGGAAGTGGAGCAGCTGGAACTCGAACTGGAGCCCACATGGGATGCCATCACAGCCCGGCTTTTACATGCTATGCCACAGCACCAGCCCCCTATTTTTCTTACAATTGGAAATTTTTACCCTTTGACCAACATCTTTCCACCTCCACCACACACACCCAGAGTTTCCAGTAACTGAGTATAATGTCAGTGGCAGGTTTTTCATAAATGTCCTATTTCAGGTTAAAGCAATTTCCTTCTATTTGTAGTCTGTCAAGTGCTTTTATTATGAGACTTTGCCAAATGACTTTTTTTTTTGCTTCAATTGAGATAGTTTTGTGATTTTTTTCTTTATTCTATTAATGTTCTAAAATAATGTTCTATAATGTTTTATAATAATAATGTTCTATAATGATGTTCTATGATAATGATTCATTTCCATATGCTGATTCACTTTTGCATCACTGAGATAACCCCACTTGATCATAGTGTGTAATCCATTTTAATATGCTGGATTCAGTTTATTAGTGTATTGTTTCTGCATTCATAATCATAAAGGATATTGCTCCATAGATTTGTTTAATGTGATGTCTTTGTCAGATTTTTGACATTGGAATAACAGTTGCCTCATGAGTTTGGAAGTGTTCCCTTATCTTCCATTTCTGAAAGAGTTTTGAGGAAAGGATTAATGGTAATTCTTTAAGTGGCTAGTAGAATTCACCGATGTAACCCTCTGGTCCTGGAATTTTCTTTAATGGGAAGTTTATGGTTACTGTTTCAGTCTCTTTACTTAAGAGTTTGTTCAGATTTACTATTTCTTATTGAATCAGTTTTGGCAGTTTATGTTTCTGGGGGTTTTTCCATTTCATTTATTTTCTTAATTTTGTTGGCATAGATTGTTTATTATATTCCCTTATAATCCATTTTATTTCTGTAAGTTCAGTAGTCCCACTTTTAATTTTAACAATTTGAGTCTTCTAATATTTTTCCTTAGTCAATCTAGTAAAAGTTGTGTCAATTCTGTCAATCTTTTCAGAACATTACTTTTTGGTTTTGTTGATTTTCTCTTTTGTTTACCTATTCTCTATTTTGCTTATCTCTGATCTACTTTTTATTTACTTCCTTCTGCCAGCTTTGAATTTAATGTAATCTTATTTAGTGTGATCTTATTTAGATCTTCTTAACTTAAAGTATAAAGTTAGGTCATTGTTTTGATATCTTTCTTCTTTTTAAATGTATCTACAGGAATAAATTTCCCACTAAGCATTTTCAATGCACTTCACAAATTTTGGTATGTTGTATTTTCATTCTTACTTGTCCAAAGTATTTTCTAATTTCCTTTGCACTTTCTTCTTTGACATATATTGCTTGATTTTGTGAATTGTCTACAATTCCTTTTTTAATGTATGTTAGACTACACAATGGTCAGAAAAGACTCCTTGCGTAACTTCACTATTTATAACTTTATCAATTCTTGCTTTGTGTCCTAAAATAGTCTATCCTAGAAAATTTCCATCTGAACTTGATAAAAATGTAGATTCTGTTTTGGGGTGTATTGTTCTGCATATGGTTTGTTAGATCTAGTTGGTTTATATTGTTAGTCAAATACCACATTTTCCTTTTCATTTTCAATATGGTTATTCTGTACATGATTGGAAGTGACATATTGAGATCTCATCTTTTATTATAGAATTATCTATTTTGTCCTTCAAATCTATTTTTACTTCATATGTTTAGGGGCTCTGTTTTTAGGTGTGTTTATAACTGTTATATCTTCTTTATAGTTCAAATATTTTGTTAATGTGCCTGTAAAATGTTCTTTGTCTCTTGTAACAATTTTTGCAAAGTCCATCTTGTATGATAGTAGTACAGCCACGTCAGCTTTCTTTTGCTTAGTATTTGCATTCTTTCACGCATATTTGCATCACTGGATCTAAAATGAGTCTTTTGAAAGCCATACACAGTTGTATCATGTTTTGCTTCACATCTATTCTTTCAATCTCTACCTTTTAATTGGAGAGTATAATCCATTTATATTTAATTACTGATAGAGAAGGACTTATTTCTGGCATTTTGCTGTTTTTGTTTTTTTATGTCTTGTATCTTCTTTGTTCCTTAGTTTCTCCATTACTGCTTTCTTTTGTATCTAAATGATCTTTTTGTGGTGTGCCACTCTGTTAATTATCTTTTGTATAACGTCTTAGTCATGTCTTTAGTAGTTACCTTGGGGGATTACAATTCACTTCTTAAAATTATAATTTTTTGAAGTAATAGCACCTTATTTCAATAGTATTAAAAAAACTGTTCCTATACAATACTGTTGCATCTACTTCGAAAAATTTTTATACATTGTATACCTTATAATTATTGTTTTTTTTTTGTATATTGCTTTTTTTAAAGATTTATTTATTTATTTGAAAGGCAGAGTTATAGAGGCAGAGCCAGAGAGAGAGAGCGAGCCAGAGGGAGAGAGATCTTCCATCCACTAGTTCACTACCCAAATGACCACAAAGGCTGGAGCTGTGCCAATCTGAAGCCAGGAGCCAGGAGTTTCTTCTGGGTCTCCCACGTGGTTGCAGGGGCCCAAGGACTTGGGCCATCTTCTACCACTTTCCCAGGCCACAGCAGAGAGCTGGATCTGAAGTGGAGCAGCCGGGACTCGAAATTGTACACATATGGGATACTGGTACTGCAGATGGCAGCTTTACCTGCTATGCCACAGTGCTGGCCCTTTATATATTGCTTTTATTTATTTTTTTTATGTTTTTATTTTTTTATTTTTGACAGGCAGAGTGGATAGTGAGAGAGAGAGAGACAGAGAGAAAGGTCTTCCTTTTGCCGTTGGTTCACCCTCCAATGGCCGCCACAGCTGGCGCACTGCGGCCGGCACACCGCGCTGATCCAAAGGCAGGAACCAGGTACTTATCCTGGTCTCCCATGGGGTGCAAGGCCCAAGCACTTGAGCCATCCTCCACTGCCTTCCTGGGCCACAGCAGAGAGCTGGCCTGGAAGAGGGGCAACTGGGACAGAATCCGGCGCCCCAACCGGGACTAGAACCTGGTGTGCTGGTGCCGCAAGGCGGAGGATTAGCCTATTGAGCCACGGCGCCAGCCTATATATTGCTTTTAAATCATATTTCAAAAAACGTATTACAAAACAAAATTACAACAGTATTGACTTTTGTATTTGCCTATGTAGTTACCTTCAACACTGTTACATATTTCTTTATATGGCTTCCAGTTACTGTCTAGTGTCTTTTCATGTCCGTTTAGAGGACTCCCTGTAGTATTTTTGGTGAAGCAGTTCTACTAGCAATGAATTTCCTTAGGTTTTGATAATCTGAAAATACTCTGATGTCTCCTTCACTTTTAAAGGAGATAGAATGCTTGACAGTTGCTTATATGTCATTGCAATGACTTTTGTACACAATAATTTCTGCTGAGAAACTGGATGTTAACTTCCCAGTCTTTGCAGATTGGCTCTATGCTGGGTGTTCCTTCAATACTTAGCTAGGATACTTAAAACTGTGCCTTGGCCTTTTCTTCCTGTGTGTACTGAACCTAGAGATCAGTCAGAGGTGAAAACTTAGGGTATTTTTAGCCCTTTTCTGATCACATATCCTGTCTAGGCATGCATGTGACTTTTTAAACTCTCCTGTATGTGCAGCATAGTTTCAATACACTAATTTCCCAAAGAAACACTCCTTAGTTTTCCATTCTAGGCTTTCAGCATGTCTCTTATTTGACCCTATTGTATTCTCTTGTCTCAAGTAACAATAAGTTGCTCATTTTCCTTAAAATGTTTTTCAGGAATGTCTTTTTTTAAATTTTTTTTTTTTTTTTTGACAGGCAGAGTGGACAGTGAGAGAGAGAGAGACAGAGAGAAAGGTCTTCCTTTTGCCGTTGGTTCACCCTCCAATGGCCGCCATGGCCGGCGCATTGCGCTGATCTGAAGCCAGGAGCCAGGTGCTTCTCCTGGTCTCCCATGCCGGTGCAGGGCCCAAGGACTTGGGCTATCCTCCACTGCACTCCTGGGCCACAGCAGAGAGCTGGCCTGGAAGAGGGGCAACCGGGACAGAATCTGGCACCCCGACCGGGACTAGAACCTGGTGTGCCGGCACTGCAGGTGGAGGATTAGCCTATTGAGCCGTGCCACCGGCCCAGGAATGTCTTATGTTTACTGACTTACAAGAGTTCTGAACTTGTCAAAACCAAACAAGTGTTTTATATCAGTATTCCGGGTAGGTAGATTAAAATAGACAATTATTTCTATTTTTGCTTTATCTATTTAAACATGTGTTGATTGACAGACAGCATAACAAATACTAATATATGATAGCTTATGAAACAAATTAACATTACCTTTGTCTTCCATTACGATTTTATCACATTGAACGTCTTTATTCTTTGGTGCTCCATTGAAAGTCTGCATCATCCTTTCAACATATAAGTCATTGCCTAGTCTATTTCTACAAAGCATTTCATAATTCTTGTTTTTCTTCCTATAACAATAAAATGTACCCACTCATTAATAATTGCTATTATTACAATATCACATTTTATATTACTCCTTTCCTTTAAATTACTTTTATTAACTGAGATTAGATTTAAAAAAATCTTGAGAAAGAGACAGTATTAAATAACCTCCAAAGAACTCATCTAAACTATACCTACAAATACTCCTATTACTTTCAATACTTACTAATAGTATGCTAGTACTACTTCCACAAAGCTTTTTATGAACCTTGATATAAACATTTAAAGTTATACATTCTTTCATAGTACTACTTTTGTGAAATATTATTTTTGTAATTGTTCAGCTAAAATTATCTTTTAAATTTCCATTATCATTTTTTTGATCCGTGGAAAATTTAGAAATGTTTTTAATTTCCAAATGTGTATTTGTTTTAGTTGAGATTTATGTTGGTAATCGTTAACTTCATTGCTTTGCGATCAGAGAATTTATTGAGTATGATTTTATTTCTTTGAAATTTTTGTGATCTTGCTTGATTGCTGTGTGCATAGATGATTTTTAGAAGTACTCCATGTTTGTTTGAACAGAATATGTTCTCTAATGATTGAGTACAAAGGTCTGTATATGACCATTAACTTTTTTGTTCAAATTTTCTTTATGGTTATTAATTTGCTCCCTGGTTTACCTATTACTAATTAAGATGGGTGTCGTTAAATCCTCTATTTTAAAAGATATTTATAAATTTTCACATTTTCACTTCATATATTTTAAAGCTATTTTATTGATAATATTCACATTTGTAATTATTACAACTTTCTCTTATCACAAATGACTTTTATCCCTAATAATATTAGTTTGTTTGTCTTTGAGTGATTTTGTCCTATATCTTTTCTCCAATTTTTAAAATTGTCTCTTTATATTTTGTATTCTGGAATGCCAGCACAGTGCACTTGGGTAAATTTATGTTTTATGCACTTCTTTTTATTTTTTCCTATTCCTGTGGAATGATGTCTTTAATAATTTGGGAAAGTGTTTGCCCAGATTAGTATGTTGCCTCCATTCTTACTATTCTGTACCTTTGAAACTCTGAATATATGAAGGTACTTCAGAAAGTTTGTGGAAAACTGAATTAAAAGGTAAGTTTATTTTGGTGCAAAAAACTTGAAATCTATGCACATAAGGGGTCCTGGAAATGTTCCTGAAATGCATTATGAAAAAACTATATATGTATTTCAAAATAAAATAAAATAATCTTGTAATTCCATTTCTATACTTTTTAAATAAATAATATAATGTGTTATAGCATTATTCTATTGTCAACATATTTTTAATTCTCTTTCATACCTTATAGCCCATTTTTGTTTCCAAGCTTCATTTTGTATAATTTATCCAGACCTTTTTTCTAACTCATTAAATCTCCATTTTAATGTCTAACATAATGTTAAATCATCATTTATTTTTATTTTCAATAATTGCATAAATATGCATTATTTTAAAGTCCTATTTAGATATTTTCCAGATATGAGTTATTATTTTGATAGTATATTTTCTATTATTTTAAAAGCATATCTTGCAGTTCAATTTTTCCATGAACATTTAAAAAGGCTTTTTTGAGAAGCAGTGAAACAGGGATAGAAAGAGCTCTCCACTTGTGGGTTCACTTTTCAGATACCTGTAGTGAAGTTGGGAGCTACCACTATTACTGACTCCCAGGCTCCACATTAGCAGGAAGCTGGGGTCAAGAGTACATCTAGGCATTGAATCCAGCATTTCAATTGCTAGGCCAAAGATCACCCTCTGATAGTTTTGTTTAAACATTTCACACATATTTTACATCCTATATCTAATAATATCATTTAACATAGTCTTCAGGGTCTAGATCCAGTGTTTATTATTTCTGTTTATTCTTATTTACAATGACTCCATCCAGGTCTCCCCTATGGGGGAAGGGGCTCAAGTATTTGGACCATTTTCTGCTGATTTCCCAGGCACATTAGCAGGGATCAGAAGAGAAGCAGGCAGGACTTGAACTGGTGCCCATATGGGATGCCAGCATTGCAGGCAGCAGCTTAACCCACAGTGCCACAACCCCGGCCCCTGTATTTGCTTCTGATGCTATCATCAGGAGACCCTTCTGATCAAGGACAACTAAAGATAATTGAACTTCTTTTGAGAGCTTTGGATTAATACAAGAGTCTTTCAGCTTTTATTTGAGGATGACCCAAAACTGATCATTGGTCTCTAGGTTCATGGGCTAATATTAACATTTGTTTCCAGAATCTCTCATCCTCTGATTTGAGATGCATTATGTATCCTTTTGTTGTTTTTCTCCTTTCCCGTTCCCTCTCCTTTTTTCAACCCTAGGAGCACCCCCTTATTTCTCATGAGCTTTTAAGGGCCTGTTATTCATGATCTAACTGTACTATATTTCATAGTTCAAATAACTCTATAATAATTTATATTTTGGGTAGGGACAATACCTTAAAATATACTGGTGATTGGCTTTTTAGTACTATGAGTCATATTCAAATAGTATTTGAGACAAAATCATATGTATAACTGTATTAATAATCTATTTGTAGTAGCTATATCGGGCAGAAAGGGCAGGCATTGTGACACAGCAGATTAAGCCATTGCTTGAAATGCCCACAACCTATATTGGAGTGCCTGGTTTGAGTCCCAGGTACTCTGCATATGTTCCAATCGGTGAGAATGGGTCTGACAAGCAGCAGATAATGGCTCAGGTACTTGAGTTCTGGGCACCTATATGGGAGGCCCAGATGGAGTTCCTGCTTCTGGTTTCTGACTGGTCTGGCTCTAGTTGTCGTAACCATTTGGGGAGTGGACCAGTGGATGGAAGATCTCTCAATTTCTGTCTCTGTCTCTCACTCTGCCTTTCGAATCAATTAATAAGAAAATCTTTGTTTTTTCCCTCTTTTTAAAATTTTATTTAAGGTATACAAATTTCATGTATTTCATATATACAGATTTAGGAACACAGTGATACTGCCCACCCTACACCCCTACCCTGTCCACACTCCCACCCCTCTTCCTCTTTCCTCTCCTTTTCCCACTCTTAATTTTTAAAAAGATCTATTTTCAGTTTACTTTATACTCATAAGGTTAACACTACACAAAGTAAAGAGTTCAACAAATAGTATGAAGAAAAAATTACGGCCGGCGCCGTGGCTCACTAGGCTAATCCTCCACCTAGCGGCGCGGGCACACTGGGTTCTAGTTCCGGTCGGGGCGCCGGATTCTGTCCTGGTTGCCCCTCTTCCAGGCCAGCTCTCTGCTATGCCCCAGGAGTGCAGTGGAGGATGGCCCAAGTGCTTGGGCCCTGCACCGGCATGGGAGACCAGGAGAAGCACCTGGCTCCTGCCATCGGATCTGCGCGGTGCGCCAGCCGTGGCGGCCATTGGAGGGTGAACCAAGGGAAAAGGAAGATCTTTCTCTCTCTCTCTCTCTCTCTCACTGTCCACTCTGCCTGTCAAAAAAAAAAAAAAAATTACTTTTCTTCAACAGTAGCGATAAAGGTTGTAAACAATCATGGAATATCAAAATGTCAATTCCGTCCAATGCTTTACATTTTAGGTACTCTATTAGTTACCACAGATCAAGGAAAATATATGGTAACTGTCTTTTGGAACTGACTTATTTCACTAAGTACAATGATTTCCAGTTGCATTCACTGTTGCAAAAGACAGGATTTCATTTTGCTTTATAGCTGTGCAGTATTCCATAGGGTATATACACCATAATTTCATAAGCCAGTCATAGGTTAATGGGCATCTGAGTTGATTGCATATCTTAGCTATTGTGAACTGAGGTACAATGAACATGGGGATACAGATAACCTTTCATATACTGTTTTCATATCGCTTACATAAATTCCCAGGAATGGGATTTCTTGGTCATATGGTAGATCTATTTTCAGATTTCTGAGGCAATTTCATTGTCTTTCACAATGGCTGAAACAGATTACATTCCTATCAACAGATTAGGGTAACTTTTCCTCCATATTCTCCTCAGCATTTATTGTTTGTTGATTTCTGTATGAAAGCCATTCTAAGAGGGGTGATATGAAACCTCATTGTGGTTTTGATTTGCATTTCACTGATGGCTAGTGATCCTGCCCATTTTTCATGTTTTTATTGGTCATTTGAATTTCCTCTTTTGGAAAATGCCTGTTCAAATCATTTGTCCATTTCTTAACTGGGTTATTTGTTTTGTTCTTAAATTTCTTGAACTCTTTATAGATTCTTTATGTTAATCCTTTTTCAGTTGAGTAGTTTGCAAATATTTTCTCCCATTCTGTTGGCTTCCTTTTCACTTTTCTGGGTGTTTCTTTTGCAGTGGAGAAGCTTCTTGGCTTGATGTAACCCATTTGTCAATTTTGGCTTTGATTGTGTTTCTGGGATCTATTCCAAGAAGTCATTGCCTATGTCAATGTCTTACAGGGTGTCCCTAAGGTTCTCTAGTAATTTGATTGTATCTGGTCATAGATTTAAGTCTTTGATCAATTAAAGATTTATTTATTTTATTTGAAAGATAGAGATACAGAGAGGCAGGGCCAGAGAGAGAGAGAGAGAGACAGAGACAGAGAAAGAGAGAGAGAGAGAGAAGAGTCTTTCACTTGCTTGTTCACTCCACAGATGGCCACAATGGCTGGAGCTGTGCTGCTCCAAAGCCAGGAGCCAGGAGCTTCCTCTGGATCTCCCACATGGATGCAGGGGCCCAAGGTCTTGGGCAAACTTCTACTGCTTTCCCAGGCCATAGCAGAGAGCTGAATTGGAAGTGGAGCAGATGGGACACAAACTGGCACCCATATGGGATGCCAGCACTACAGGCAGTGGCTTTACTTGCTACATCACAGTGCTGTGGATTTTTGTGTAAGGTATAAGGGAAGGTTCTTGATTCATACTTCTGCAGGCAGAGGTCCAGTTTCCCCAGCACAATTTGTTGAAAAGATTATCCTTGCTCCAGGAATTGATTTTAGCTCCTTTGTCAAAGACAACTTGGTTGTGG